ACAGTGGATAACGAGTAGTTTACCGTCAGCCTCAGGTCTTTGCTCAGGACCTCCACCAGTGCACACTGCTGGATAGGAAACACTGTACACAGCTCTGATTATTACCCAGCCCAGGATGTCTGGTGTCCCCCGCCTCATTGTAGTACAGCAGTCATGTCTGTGGTGGAGACAGTGAACGAGCACTTTCTTACAGCAACATCAAGCTTCCCAAAATAAAAGCTCCCCTAGGCATCGGCCCTGTGCGCTGCTTGGCCCATGCCCTGTAATTGAAGCTGCAGGGTGGTAATGATGATGATGCAGAGTGGCTTGCTTGGAGCCAGACTGAAGGCTCCTCCACTGGCACTGTCCCCAACGTCTCCCATGGGCCTTGATCTGAAACAGCTGCCCTTACTTCAGTTCACCATTTCCTGTTTGTTTGTGTCTTGAAGTGGCCAATCAGACAGAGGCTTGTACTTGTTATAGAGTGATTCTCTTACATTTTGACAGTTTAGCCACTATTTTTCCCTCCCGCACGAGCCTTTCCCTGACCATAAGCCCGTCACACATGGTCATTCATTCACTTAAATCAGATCATGACGTTCAGGCTCAGTCATCCAAAAACCAGATGATATTTTCAAGAACAGATTTTATAAACTGATTTTTGAAGTGGATATTCTTAATGGTTTTAAATAAATGAATCACTGCTAAAAATGGTTTGGTAGAGTGATGTGAAACACACAAGTTGGCACAACTGTTGTGGTTGGAGACGCCCTTTTTTCTGCTTTGAGAAATGTGGCTTGTTATGGCTTTGTCAGGTCACACCTGTTTTGGTTAACATACCAATAAAGCGCATGCAGAACAGGGAAAACACACATTTGGATTTTTATGTTGGAATCAAGCTGAATCCCATTAATGGCACATTTTGCTGACACACAAGGGTGTACCCTGTCTCTCTCCCAGTGCATGCTGGGATAGGCTCCAGCCCCCTCGCCCCTGCCAAGGATAAAGCAGTTATACAAAACGGACAGACGGATAGATGATTCAAATAAACAGCAGGCTTCAACACAACCATCCACAACTAGTCTGCCATCTTTGCAGCAGATGTCTTGATGTAGTAGAGGGACATGTCCTGCATAAAGTTAGATTTTAACATTTTAGCCTCTGAAAACTTGGTTTCAAATTTTAATTGTTTCTCTACAGTATTAAGTATACATCACTAAATAAGCAATAATCAAAGTTAAAGTTTGGAAAAGAAAACATCTGTGTATCGATATGATTTATTAAGAGTTTAACACTCAAAAACTCAGCTAATGTGCTTCAACGGGACTGTGTGGGTTTGATTTGATCAGATTTGATTGACAGTGACCTGGAAACATCAGCAAACACCCAACAACTGTCATCAGATTGGATTCAGATGCTGCTGAATCCATAATGTTGCAAGTAGATGGTAGGGGTGGGAAACACAAGAGGGCCTGCAACATGATATCATCATGATACTTAAATTATGATACAATGTTGTTGCAATATTAAACGCCTTGCTTAGTATTGCAATTTATTACCTTTCATCGGCTGTGAGTTATGTCCCCAAAGGAACACTTTGTCAACATCTGCTTTAACTAATAAGACTAAGCTTGTAGTTTGTGTATCCCACTTCAGTCATTTTTATTGCAGCAAGATGTATCTGGTGGAGCGAAAAAGCAGTTGATTTTATTATTCTCATAGTATACCAAAAGTTTAGTTTGTATTAGCAATATTAATCATTTATATAATAAAAAAATATTGATACTTGGCATCTGTGTACCAATACAATAGTGTCATGCAAAATATCAGGATACTATAGGCTATATTAAATATTATATTACCTTTTCCCAACTGAACTCCATCCACTTTAAATTGTAAACAAAGCACAAACAAAACCACAAATACACAATTTAGAATTCTGTCATGTGAAATACGTAAAACCGTTTTAACTTTTGCAGAGAATAGTGTGTATGTGTAGGGCACTCGCTCATAATAAGAAGCTGATGGGTTTTCTGGGCCTTTAAAAAGGTGTGTGTTTGAATGTATTCATGCATGAACTCACTTTTCACTCACACAAATACACGGTAAAAAAAAAAAAAGTACAGTACAAAACTTTCAGTGGAAGATGTTAAGGTTGGATTTGTTATTGTATACGCAGCTGAAGACCAGCACAGCATACCAGTGACTTACTCTCATGATCCCGGCCATGTTGATTGTGAGCTCCTGATTACAGCTCAGTGCAGCTCTAATCAGAGTTTCCTCCCATCACCAGCCGCAGGAACCAGGAAGAACTGGCTGATGATTTTCTCCAATGGTCTCTCCCATCTCTGAAACATACCCCCATCCAAGACAAAATAATAGGCTTTCCTCGGCTCGCCTGTGTGCCCCTCCCTGAGATTGTCGGTGGGTGAGACATGGGGGCGCTGTTGGCACTGCCATGCAGTTTACTAAATGCATTGCAGCTCTGAGATCAGCTGTGTGTGATGGTTTGATGGCTTACAATGGAATAGTGATGATTTTAGAACAAAGATGTTTTGGGGAGCTCTGTTTAAGACCATTAGCAGCCGTGCTGCATTTACTGCTATAAAAGGCTGGAATCAGACTGTGTGAGTGGATGAAGGTGAAGGAGAACTTGTTATGACGGTGCGGACAAAGTTTTTTTTCAACTTTCTAAGGTCAAGCTCAATCACAGCTGCATACTTGCTGTCACAGTGGAGCGCATGTTTTTTTTTTTTCTTTCTCCCTCTTCCATTTGTTTTTCTTTACTTCATTGCATTCCTCTTGAGTCTCATAGATCAGAGTTGTGATTTTATTGTAATTCTTCAGCTGTTGGAGAGCATGAAGATCTACATTCAGTAGCCAGACACTTATATAACATAGGTTTGGTTTGCATTAGTGTAGACTCATATGCACATACTGTGTGGCTTCACTAGGTCTTCCTGAAAGAATCCCTAAAGCATGTATACTATCAGGTACATGCCCCTGAGATTGGTTCACAGCAGGAGGGTACATGCACTTCTTTATTCTTGTGCTGTGATGATATGGAATATGTGATCCTATGAGCCTGCAGTTATTATGCTTGGTTTATCCTGGGAAGAATCACAGGGAGACGTCCCAATGATCATTTCTGGTAAAGGCTTCCTGGCATGCACCGCTAATCTGCCCACTCACTAAGGAAAAAGAAGAGGAAAATTGGACTCAATTGAGAACAGAGACATTGTTCAAAGAGTTTCTGAATTGGAAGCGGGTGCTGGCATTGGACACACAAATCTTTGACTCCATCAGTGCCACTGTGTCAGCGTCGAGCTCCGGCATCAGCTCCAACTTGAGCCTCAGACATGTACCGGTTCAAAGACCTGGGTGGAGACATTTCTCCCTTGGATGGAGCGTGAGTTAACACTGATGCCAGCTGGTGACGGTTGAGGGAGAAAAACTCAGTGAGCTTTTATTGTGAAAGCTGTACTCTTGAGTTGTCTGTGGGCTGTTTGATTCGTAGTCAACGTTTTCCTGGACCGTGCACAGACCTAAAATAAAGTAATTGCTTTGTTTCCCAGCAAACTGGAAGTTGTGAAAGTGTTTGGAGACTTCCTCTTTTTCTTTTAACTGAGTCATTCTTTTTAGTTGAACATTGCAGCAGTGCATGAGTTTGCATTCTGTGATCAGCAGTGGTCAGTGGTACGGGTGGACATGGTTAGATGCCAGACATTGTTGTGGTTAAAAACAATTAGTCTGTAGGAATTCCTGACTGTAAAAGTGTCTGAGTTGAGTTATGTGCTGTGCAGACTTAGTCCAGGTGTGCTGAGTGTTTAGTGTGAACATGTGCCTAAGGTCACTTTCACTAGTGGCTCACTCCTGCACCTTTATGACATAATTAAATAAATCAACCTTTGCCCGCAGTGTTGTAACTGTGTGTGCTCCTGCCTTTGCTTTCTGCTTAGCTACAAAAAAAAAAAAAAAAATCACTGGCACATTTGCTGAGACTTCAGTTTATGAACTTCTTCTGTACAGTAGATATATAGCGCCCTCTTCTGTCCAGTGTCACACATTATTCACTTAATAGCTAAGACTTCACTCACAGTTTCCTTCTTGAATTGCACTATTGTTTGTACAGTACTGTAAGTGTTCGGTTTGGCTGGTTGAGCTTGTAGCCGCGTGGAATGTCTCTCATTTCGTGACGAGGGACACTGTTTATAACTGTCATGAATAATTGTGAGATTTGCACTGCATCTGGAAGCCATTGAAGTACATGCAGGCTCTGTCTTTCCCATCAGACCAACAGTGGAGTCAGTGCCAAACATCTGTTGCCACACAATCTATCATCTATCAGCTGAGGGGCTGAAGTTCAGCTCTGATATGAATGGTAATCAAGACAGAAAATGTTGATGTGGGTTGCTGTGATTGTTGGGACTGATGAGCCCGGAATGTGGGGGTGTGACTCATGCAGCAGAAACTTTGAGAGCACGGGGCACCAAAAACAATCGAACGCTGAACAAATTGTGTTGTTTGTTCTGGAGTGAAAGAACTTCTCCAGGTTTCAGTCAAAGCTGCGAAGTAAAAAAGAAGCTGTGTTACTCTGTATGTGGTGTTTCTCCATCTGGAGCTAATTTAAGATACTAATAAATGTCTCCCCTTTTGATCTTGACTGACTATATCCTGCCCGATGGGGTGTCAGAGTTTGTTTTATTCCAACTTGTCATACAGTACAGTCTTGTCAGATTTAGAGCTTCCTGAAACAAGGACACTACATTTGTTCAGTGCCAGTACACTGCTTGGAGCAGCAGTGATCCAGAAATGCTGCTGCTGATATCCTGCCTCTGCTGAGCATAGCTTTTTTGTGACTCTTTTACTGTAACATTGCATCAGTCTAAACACTTCCACACTTTCTCAACAGACTCCAGAATTCTGAACTTCAAAGTCAGTTTCAGCTGCTGGAGGAAGTTCGACTTTCATGCTTACTCACTCACTCTTGCTTTTGTTGTCGCTTTCCTCTTCCTCCACAGGAGTTCTCCCCTCCAGACTACAGAAATAACTCTGTGTCCAGCAGAACCCCGACACCCCCAGGACGCTATTCACCTCATAGCCCCATTGATCGGGACGCACCCATGTCCCCACGTCGCAGGTAAAGACCACATCGAAACACCAATAAACGCCATAGTTAAAATTATGTACAGTAAATTACACTGACTGCTGTGGATACCTTTTAATCTTTAAATTGCATCTTTTGTTGAAATGAAACATGAAATAGAAATGTGTTACAATCTTGCACATTTAACCAGACATGTAGTAACTATTCCACATCAGTCACTGTTTGTACTGCATCTGATGTAAAAGTGGAAAAGAGACACTGTGCTTTATTTATATGTTTGAATATTAACAGCCAGATGTTTTTACAGTCCACAATTTTACATTTTACTCTATTTTAGTTTAAAGTTTCTCCACATATAACAGCAGCAGGATGGTGTCCTCTCTAACAAGAGTATGTATACAGTACTGGCAGTCATCCTGCGCCATCTATAGGCCAGTAGAGTTATACACACAGATTCAAGCCTGGTCCTTGAAAGCATAGTCGTTTTATACAAGAAGAAAACACAATAAAAAAAAAGCTTTCACTATAAGTTAGTACTAGCAGTAATAAATACATTTGTAAAAACTCACATTTAGTTGACATAATGCTGGGCAAAATATTTGTTATATAGATATTGTGATATGAGAGTAAATATCATCTTAGATTTTGGATATCATAATATTCAAAGTGTTGTCTTTTCCTGGTATTAAAGGTCTAGTGTGTAGGATTTAGGGCTTCTGTTGGCAGAAATGGTGTATATAATACTCATAATTATGTTTTCATTAGTTGATAATCACCTGAAACTAAGAATCTTGTTTACCTGAGAAATGAGTCATTAATATCTATATATCTCCCATAGAGTTTGCCATGTTATTCTACAGTTGCCTCGAACAGGCAAACCAAACACTGGCTCTAGATAGGGCCATTTGCGTTTTTGCGTCAGCAGCCATAGTTCTCCTACACCCTTGGCACATGAGAGAAGATTCTGTTCTGCATTCTTACTGCTAAATGCCACTAAATCGTGCACACTGTATTTTTAAAGGCTGCATTAAAGTAAAGTGATGTAATTTTCTTAACTTACCAGACTGTTCTAGCTGTTAAACTATTTGCATTTACCCAATTATATCCACATTGCTGATGATTATTTATCAAATATCTTATTGTGTGCATATTTTGTGAAAGCAACAGTATAATCACTATATCTGTATTGACCTATGTGGTCGAAAATATCATGATATTTGATTTTCTCTGTTTCGCTCAAAGTTGAAGTTGTGACAGAGAGGTGCTTATTATGGTTATGTCTGAGTAATCTCATCTAATGACACAGTGGTATCCACTTACACCTCCACTATGAATCAGCAGCTCAGATACTGTTTCAACTTGAGATGGTCTCCATAAGCCTGACAGAAGTAGTTTTTATTGCAGAAATACTGTGTTAGATTACATGAGGTTATTTCAGTGGTTAGGATATTGCAGTATTTCCCATATTTGGAATTTATCTGCTCTCTGCTCGAAACATTCCTTTGTATATTTGTAATTATTGTTTCTTCCTTACAAAAGTCTGAATGGAAAGGATGTTAAAAGGGCAAATGGAGTGAAAAGTCAGTCAAACCAGCGCATTGATTGAGTGTGCGACTATTAGTCAGTTTGTGAATTCGCTGTTGTGCTGCAGCTGACCGTCGGTGCTCAGAGCTGTTTGCAGCTGCACTGAGTCAACAACTACAAATGAACTTTCATCCTTTGGGAAATACTAAATAGTCTCTGGCACCACCTGCACTACAGTTTGCTTTTTCCTGCTTCGCCCCCTCTGATGAGGTGATGTAGCTGTAATTTGACTCAGTTCAGAGCATGCAGGTGTTTCCCTCTGAACATTTTTTGGATTCACTTACACTCAGCAATGTTTTTTATCTCAGCAGAAAAGAAAATCTTCTTTTAGTCTGCACACGGTCCTCTGTGTCCACTCTCTCTGCTGGAGAGGCTGGTGCCTGTGTTTTCACAGTGCAGGATGGTTGACTTTGGCCCCAGTTCCCCCCTGGGTAACCGCAGCTCGTGATATGACGTGTCAGCAACGGCAGTCCTATCCAAACACCCCATATTCCCAAAAAGTCAGATTTTGCTTCTCCCCCTGATTGGCCCCCAGTCTGGAGCCCCCGGCTTGCACACAAAGCCTCTCCCTGCTCCTCCCCAGCCAATCACAGGCTTAGTGACACCCATTTACCCACCCCTTCATGTCGCATGTCCAATGAGTTTCAGCCCAGAGGCACACCTTTCAGTCAGACTCTTGTTTTTCTGTCTCGTCTGGTTTAGACAGAGGTGTATGTTCGGCATCTTATATTGTTTTCTTTTGTATATTCCGAGTTTCCACAGCAGTGTTAGACATACAGGGAGAGTTACTGGAGAGAATAGTTGAGCTCCCTTTCTTTGTTCCCTCTTTGTTTCTCTTTGAGGTGAGTCTTGTCATTTTGAGTTTTGTCATTTGGATTTCATTTTGTCAGGATTTACCGACTTTGGTTTAGGTGTTGTACTGCAAGTACAATGGTTTGAGAAATGCAGTTGTGGTAAGGATCTTGGATATGTTTTGGCCACCCTCACGTGCTATGACTAGATCTTTATCATTGCAGCTCTGTGCCAAGTCTGGGTATAGAAACCAGCAACACATTGCTCTTAGATGTAGACATTTTGTAGATGTGAGAACAAAGCACAACTACTCTGAAGTTGTCAGCTACTGTAGAAATCTAACTGCTTCCACTGCAAATCCATGTGCTCTAGACTGCTTGCTCAGATGCATGGCGTTCCCTCTCACTCTCAGTTCTGTTATTTGTTTTCCTCCCATTTGACCTACACTTTCCATTTGTTTTGAGAATGCAATTTCAAAAGGAATAGCGAGCAAGGCGAGAATGGATTGCTGAGGGTGGAGCTGAGCATGTGGAGAGCTTTAGATGTCTGTTTTCAATTTGAAGCATGTTCAGTGATTCAGAGGGAAGGGTCTGAGCCTTGTCACAAATTTGTTGTCTTGTCTGTTTGCCATCTCCTGTTTCAGCCTTGTTCATTTAGCGCGAAGCTTAAAACTGAAATCCAGGCAGTCACAGTACATGTCGAGCACAGCCATGTTTTAAGCTTTTTAAACCAATATGAACATGAGATGTTTTATATGCAACACACTGAGGAAATGTTACATGTACAAGAGAGGTGCATAATTATTATGGCATTGCTCTTTTGCACATTGACATTAAAATAAAACTGTGACTTCCAGCTTTAAGGGTCTTTGAGACTCATAAGCACATTTCATGCATAGTCCCCATGTGCAGGACAATGCAGAAGGACAATGATCCTAAACATAGAACCAAATCAACCAAGGAGTTTTCTTTTCTTTGGCAAAACAGCTAAATGTTCCTGAAGCCAAGTCTGTCACCTGACCTTAATCCAACTGAGCATGTGTTTCACAGACTGAAGGCAAAAGCCCGTAACAAGTAAGAAGTGAAAATTGCTGCAGACCTGGCAGAGCATCACCAGGGAAGATACCAAGTATTTGCTGAAGCCTGCGGTTCATAAATATTATGGACTACAAAGGCTTTGGCAACAAATATTTGACAAACTTCTTATCATTCCAGTAAACTGTGAGGTCATGTATGAAAAGCACTGCGATACCTTCCCTGTTTGCCCAAACTAAAGCTTCAACTCTGCATTTTAACTTCATAATCATTGTTTTAGATGTAGTATGCATCTGTCAGTCCAGGCACCTTCATTTTGTCCTTGGATAACCATATAACCAAATACAAGGTCTCATAGTGAAGTGATGCTTAAACACGTTATTCAACAATAATAAGCAGTTTCCATGGTGTGGGTTTAGGTCATTGTCTTTGAGCAGATTCTTCACAACACAGGTGTCGGTTAAAGGCTAAATATTTGGACAGATCTGTTGTATGTGACAACAGCTGGGACAGTCAGTCAGGTTAAGTTGACTGACTCTGGCTGACAGGTTGGCTGCAGGTGGAAGGCATCAGACCACACCTGGCCCCAGCTAGCACTCGGCCAACCGGTTCCTACTGACAGCAAACACTCACCAGCTCCCTCCAGACAAATACACTGACACGAGAACCCACTTTGTGTCTTTGTGTTTCTTTTTACTTATTTATCATCTGTCAGTCCAGGTTTCGATGCATGTGTTTCTTCAGGGAGGGATTGGTATTTGACCACACATCAACTGTGGTAGAAACAGTAAAAATAACAACTTTTCCACCACACCAGGGGTAAAGAAGTTGCTTGTAAACCTAGCCACTGTTCTTTTCTCTTATTTGTTTTTAAGAATTGACACCTACTACCCATAAGTGAAAGCCTCATCTTACTCTGCCAGGAGGGCATTCCTTGTTGTTTTGTGGCTGTTTAGTAGACTATTATTACATAGTACAAAGCTGATGTCCATTATTTTCTATCATGCCTCGTGTCAGGCACAAGACTTTGTATTTCACAATCATTTACACAGTCATGGTTGCTGAGAAGATTTAACTGTTATTTTCCATCAGAAAAGACTTCACAGATGCTTTACAGCAGGGGTTGCCAACCTGCAGCTCGCTGCCCATTTTTAAATGGCCCATGGTGAGCTTTTAAAAATAAACTAGAATGGCTCGAGCATATTTCTAATAAATTGCTCTATATGTACATTGCAGTACAGCCTGGTTTAAACACAATGTTGCTGTCATCTTCAACAACTACTTCTAGCAAGTGCTGCCATTGCACTTGTTAATTTGAAGGCTAGCTATCACTACTTCAACTCCAATTATTAATTGTTAGTTGATAAAAACATTTACCTCCGTGAACATGGCAGATGACCCAAAAAGACAGAAGACAGAGAAATACTTTGTAATTTGTAGGGACTCTGATAAACTACTGTAATGTCAAATATTAAACTGTTTAGTAGTGTTGCATAGCAATTTTGATAGAAAATAAATGATCTATAGCAAATGGGCTTTTCTGGTCTAGAGACAGTGAGGACGCATTCACACCAGAGCTATTTGGTCCGCTTTAAACAAACCCTGGTCCACTTCCATGGATAGTTTGGTTCATTTGGAGTGGTGTGAACGCTCATTTGAACTTTGGTGCGGACCAAATGAGCGAACCCTGGTCCGCTTGAAAACTGGGGCTCTCGGTTCACTTGCAAGTGAACCCTGGTGCGGTTCACTTGCAAGTCGTGAGGAGGTGCAGCTGCTGATTGATATAAATTTGGTGTTGCTCCATTGTTTCTGTGGTGACCAAGCCGGCTGAAGGAGATGGATTTCCGTTTTTGGTCCTGGCCAATCGATGAGCCGGGTTTTCTTCTTTCTCATGCTTTTTTTCTTCCTGGTCAGTGGTCGTTACTACTGACCAAGATATACTGCCCCCAAAGGAGTAGCTGTTGTAACTGCATGACGTTGTCCAGGCGGTTTGGTCCGCTTTAAAAAGTGCAGTGTGGAAGTGAACCGAACCAAATGAAGGCGTAAAATGTTTCTGGAATCCCCGCCCAATCAAACAGAGTCGCTCGGACTATCCTGGTGTGAATGCATCCTGATTTTCTTGCAGTGAAACTGGTTTAAAACTATTATGCTAGTGTTTACCCTGCAACATTTTCTTGTACATGGCCCATAATCAAAAAAGTCCCCCCCCCCCCCCCCCCCCCCCCCCCCCCCCNCCCCCCCCCCCCCCCCCCTGCTATGAACTTCCACTGTCACCCTAATATTGTCTGTGTTTTTGCCTTGAGGCTGTTTTCTGAGAACAGTGCCTCTGGTAAGGGGATATGGTGGGGTCCTGTTGAGGGAATGGACACTGTTTGGCCTCTTGCCTGTGGTGTGTAATCTACATGTAATACTCAGAGGTCAAAGTCTCAAAGCCAGCTGCTGCCCCCTTCCTTCATTTCCTCTGGATTCTGTTAAACCAGACTCACAACAGGTCTTTCATAAACGTGTATTTTCCACTGAGCACATCCCAAAGAGCTTGACGTATGATTTTAGTGAATGTGAAACCTGCAACCTGTGACGTGTATTTTAATTTCCTACTCCTACAGCAGTTCGAGCTCTGACTACGCCATGCAGAGGTTCGACAAGGACTCAGAGGTATACAAGATGATTCAGGAGAATAAGGAATTCCGCACGGCACCTCGTCAGTCCAACACCTTCAAAATGCTGCAAGAGGTCCTGGAGGCTGACGAGAAAGGTTAGAAGCACTCTGCATTACAAACAAATGCGAACGATTAACTACTACTCAGTAGTGTCCATCATTGCACAAATATTCACATGCGTATTTTACTGTAAATTGAACTCATTCATCATTTTTATCAGGCATTTTCTATCTTAAATGTGTGACTAAGTTAAATAATGGTGTGTGCAGTGTGTTCCCACGCTTACACAAGATAAGCAAGTATAGAAAATGAATGGGACATGAATGTGTTGCATGGAGGAGCTTGGCAGGATTGCATAGTTTTTAAATTTGGACTGGTGGTCGATCTCAATAATCCCTTTGCAGTTCTCAGGATTCAGCTATTCTGTCAAATGCATCATCACTTAAATCATCTCCTACAGTCATGCTCTCCCTTTGAAATCATTCTTGTTAAAAGCACTTTGTGCAGAACAAGTGAATGAGAATCACTGAGTTGTAACTCAGACTGCCATATGGCCGTCACCTGTGCAGAATGGAGAGAAAAGCTCTCCTGTGTGCAATTCATATTGTGAACAGCATATCATGGAATGCATCTGTCCTCCTCTTCCCCCTCCACTTTGATAAATGGTGGGGCAAATAAATCCAGATAGCAATAACATTCTTTCATGACGTGATAATGACCAATGTGTGGAAGCCCACTTCATGGAGTGTCTCCCCTGGGTGATGGGCTAGTGATGATGAGTGGGGAACACAAACAAGCTCCACTGACAGAGGGAAGTGAAGGTGAACAGAGTGTTGATGTGAGGAACAGAGATGCAGGCAAGTCACAACTTCTCTTTGAACAGCTCTGCTCGTGTGTGTGTGTGTGTGTTTTGTGTGTGTGTGTGTGTGTGACTCCAGAGGCAGCCCTGCGGTTCCCAGGGAAACTTTCCCCCAACGTCCCCAAACCAGGCACAGCAGTGGCAGGAGTCAAAAAAACCCACATCTGTGAGAAGTGCGGCACCAGCATTTTGTAAGTCACCTGCAGTTACACACTCACTGCACTAACATAGGTGTGTGAATAATTGCAAAGATAATTTGCCCTGCAGTAAAAGATGTTCCACATGTGGATGTAGTATTGAGTGTGTGTTTTTTTTTGGAATATTTCCAAAGTAACAACCAGTTCTTAGGTTGACTATTGTTATGTTGAGTGTATTACTGAGCTTTATTTTACCCAGATCAAGTAAAAACACACCTGTCAATGGGGCAATTTTATTTCTTTCTAGAAGCAATCAAATGTTTGAAATTAATGATTTAGATTTCATAATCCAGATACCATATCTGCCTACAGTCAAATATAGTTAATTGTTTTAGGAAAGACAAACGGTTGTAATTGTCAGTATGACGTGATCATGCTAATATTTCTTTGCTGTGGTGTCAACTTTGTCCCCTTGTCACAACTTGTCCAAAACCAAAAACACATTTTTCCTCTTTCCTGTAGTGCTAGTTATCAGTCTAGGTTGTGTTGCGGTGAGTTGCCAAGTTTTGGAGATGTCAGCCGTAGAGATATCTGCCTTCTCTCCAATATAATGGAACAAGTTGGCACTCAGCTTGTGGTGCTCAAAGCGCAAAAACCCCCAACAAAAAACACACATTTGAAAAACTCAACAGCAGTGTCTCTTTCCAGAAATCATGACCCAGTAACTCAAGATAATCCACAGACCTTGTTGTGAGCAGTTTCGTGTAGGAACTATTTTCTTTCACCTGCCAACCATATCACTGTGCAGAAGGAATGGTGCATCTACTCATGGATGAGAGGTTTGGGACAGTGTGAGATGTAAACATTAACGGTGTCCTCCTCTGCTGAGCTGTAACATTAGCTAACTCAATGGTGCTAGGTGAGCTAGCAGTAGATACATACGTCCTCCTTCATGGTGTTATGGTTGGCAGGTGTAGTTCAGTAGAAAGAAAATAGTTTCCACATAAAACTGCTCACAACAAGATCTGTGGTTTCTCTTGCGTAACCCAGCCATGATTTCTGGGGAGAGACATTGCTGCTGAGTCTTTCAAATGTATTTTTTGGCACTTTGAGCACCACAAGCTGAGTGCCATCTAGTTCCATTTTATTGGAGAGAAGGCAGACATCCCAACAGCCAATATCTCTAACACTCAACAACTCACACCAAAACAATCTCATAAATAGCACTACAAGTAAGAGGGAGAATGTGTATTTTTGATTTTGGGGTGAACTGTCCCTTTAAGATACAAATTAAACTGCAGTATTTGTTTATCTGTGCTGACCTTCGTAACACATGAGTTGATTTGCATTGGAAATGAGGCAAATCATTTCACCCTGTTGTCAGATAGTCCAGTGTGTTTGTCTGCTGTCTGATTGCATTCGTATCTCCACAGAACACTGGCCGTGCGCATCTCGGACGACCGCTTCCGCCACGCAGAGTGCTACACTTGCACAGATTGTGGTCTTAACCTCAAGATGAGAGGTCATTTTTGCGTCGGAGATGTGATGTACTGTGAGAAGCACGCCAACCAGAGGTACAAAGGCCCAGGTAGTTCCCCTCAAGTCACCGTGTCCCCTCGCCAATGAGTCTGCCACTCTTCACCTGCCCCGCTCTGAACGTCGAGTGCTGCTTATCTGCCTGAAGCTCCACACCACCTGACTCAGTTATAGACCTTGGGATGGGGCGTGGAGGTGGACACTGGTCAGCAAAATGGCAGAGGGTGCTTTTTTTCTGATCACATTTAACCATACTTTGCAATATTATGATTCACTTTCTTGCCTTTCTTATAATTGTATGAGAATTGGGGCTTTTGTTTTTCTATGGCCTGGCCTCGACGGTCTCTTTAGGTTATTCTTAGCTCTAATGATGCACAGCTGCCATGGACTCAAGCCACATCGCATTGTACTAAGGCCAGATTTACATAACACCAACGCTTTGACAAACTCAACAGAACTGGCTCTCTGACTCTCCGAGGATCTGGATAATCATTTGAATCTCCTGCTGACACAAAGGGACCAAAATCTCACCTACACTGCATGCCATTTTAAAAATGTACTGTACACAGGCAGTGCTGTGTGTGTGTGTGTGTGTGTGTGTGTGTGTGTGTGTGTGTGTGTGTGTGTGTGTGTGTGTGTGTGTGTGTGTGTGTGTGGGGGTGTGTATGGATGCATGCTTTCACATGCAGGAGTGTGGTGGCTTCTGCATGCCTTTCCTGCATCTGTGTGTGTGATTGCGTGTGTGCCTGAGAGAGAGATGGGGAGGGGGGTCCAAATTGTTAGATACAAAGGAGTTTGTGAATTTTGCGCTAGAGTCAGGCCAAAAGCCCTTGAGTTTTTTTTCTATATTTCTTTTGTAAGTAGAATTTATGAGTAGAAATAATGAAAAAATACATATTTGCTGACTTGTTTTGCTGTTTTGTTGCTTATGAGGGACTATAGATTCATACAAATATACAAATATTTTTGATGTTTTTTTTGTGATTGAATTGTATTCTATAATATAGACCATTTAAAATGCATAATGTATGCACAGGACATTTAGTGTGAAAAGAATTGATGATACTACACTTGTCAAGTTACAGCAGTACTCAGAGATACACTATAATGTTCGCATTTCATGTGGCACTTAATAAAACCGCACAACCTAAAGCTTCTTCAGTGATGATGACTGTGTTGGAATAAGTGTAAATGTCTTCCTAAGTCATTACTGTTTCCAAACTTTTTGGTGACGGCTGCCCTGTCTTTACGTAGTTTTATTGACTCCACATTACACAAGTACACTTCTCATTGTTGGCAGCTGAAAGGAGTCAAACAGGAGTTGTTCTTTGTCATACAGGTACGGTCCTTTAAGTTCAATAGACCTTCGTTTCACAGCTGACCTTTTGTTGCCTCTTAGCAGGAAGACACAAGTGTAACTAATTACATTAAAGATGACTCCATTCCATAGATGTGTCTCAGGGCCCTGCAAGTGGGGTGCATTCATTAATGTTGTTGGTTACAGCCAGTGTTTTAGTCAAGACATCTACTGAGACGAAGTCATGACCAAAACCAGACCACTGAGTCCCACACTGCATGACACACTTAAAATAAAATATGGAACATGAAAACCATAGGTACTCCTCCTATTGGTCTACATTCTCATTAAAAATCCCACGGAAAACAAATGAAGATTCCTTCTCACTCACCTCTTTTATTGCTGTACTTTATGCAAGAGTGTGTATGTATAAGTGTACCATAAGAAAAGTGTTGATAAAATAATCAAAAGGCATTGCAGAGGTGAATTGTATGTATGGGGATTTTCCTTTGAATTCTATGAGCAAACAATACAAACACTAAGGAGCTGAAATCAACTTCATGTTTATTTAACACTCCTTTTTTGTACAGACAATTTAGTTTTATCCCTACAGTTATGGCCCTGATTGGTTTTGAAATAAAATCCTTAGTCCTCTTTGTCTGAGAGAAGAAAGAGTAAAAATGTGATCAATGCCAAAAAGAGACCAAAACCTTAAAATGGTGGTCTTGAGACTGATCTCGAGTACGACAACACTAGTTACAGCTCTGCTTTTCCTGCTATGACTTGTTTAAATGTCGGAAATAGAAATGGCCCATTTACAATACATGACAATAACTCATTAACCTTCTGTCTTACTGCGTGTAGAGAGACGTGACTTCATCTGGGATAAAAATAGACATGCACATTGATATCTGTTGTAATGTTAGGAAACATATTACATAACAAAGCTATGTGAAAAAAAGTTGTACTGTTGCCATTGGTGACCTCAGTCACCACGTTTTACTGAGACTGAAAGAAACACAGGACTGAGACTTAAAGATACATATTGTTTTCTGTTCAGATTCCCAATCTGTTACTACGCAAGGTGATTTATCACTCAGACTTTTGCCTGCACACTTAAAACCATATGAATGATGGATTAAAAAATAGGGTGTGGACACATCACTGTTTCTGAGAAGACAGGTTTGACAAGCAGGGTGTCACCCTCATCTGACAGTTGGAGTGCAGTTAAGCAGCACATTAGCAGGGTGGGGTACAACTTGGATTGCCTTTTGGGACCTCTTGATGTTGAATGTGAAGCTGAAGGTATCCAACAGTAGTCCAAAATTCTGTCAGTCTGACAAAAGGCCCAACTTAAACCTGTTTTTTTTTTATTGTCCATAACTAGAATCATTTTGTGCAAAGATCTTTTTAAACAATGCTCATGTGTTTCACTCAGCTAGCAGAAGAGGGCAGCATAGCTACAGTTACAAAAGTGCCTCTAAACTTTAGAAAGGCTGAAAAATGAAGGAGGGAAAATACTATTTTTTGGAGACATCTGGTAATAAGAATTAGGGTCTAAGTTAGTTTATATAAACATGCAGTCAATAACTATGAATACATTTATTAAAGTATGCATAAATGTGTTACATGTGGATCTACTCAGTTATTACAGTATTATGTAATTGCTTTAATATGGATAACAAAATATTATTATGTTCATTTTGTATATATAGATACTGGAATGTGTAAACATAATGTCTAACATGTATTCTGGATTAAATGCTACTGTCAATAGGGTGACCACTGTTACGTCTGCTGCTCATAATAATTCTTAATGATCTACAAAAGGTATTTAGTGTTGAAAAATATGGCACCACATTATGATTTGAGAACCCCATAAACTGGAAGCAGTGGGTTTAATGTCCCCATAAATCCTTAATTAGAATCATTCACCCAGGAAACACCCAGAACTGCAGGAGAGGCTGTTTGACTGACAGAGCGGCTCAGAGGGGGCGGGCCCTATGTGTGCTGCTCATCACACCACTAGATGTCATGGGCTCCTCAGGAAAGACTCAGCAGCAGCAGATGAGGGCCTTACAGAGGGCCTGGTGTTTGCTTCCCGGCTGGAAGTTTTCTTTTGTTTATCCACGGGCAGAAACACTCGGCTGAGCTGAGCCTCAGTCTCAGCAGTGTCTTGGTCTGCTTTACATCTCTGATTGCCCCCGTTGTTTGTGTCTGGATATTTCTGCTCTAACGTGTGATTATAAGGACAACAGGAACATGCCCAAGAGGAATCATCAAATCTTGCTGTATCGTCTGTTATACATCCCAAAAGCTTGCGTAACTTCCCCCCAAAATCTCCCCTAAGACATTCTGCTTTCTGAGCCTCTCTGCGTTCCACCTTTCCTTCCCTGTGTTCTCCTCTTTCTCAATTCCCCACCTGGAATGGAGTCCAGATGTGGAACAGGGAGAAGGAGAGATTGCCTGCTTGGCTATAAGGAGCGAGGGGGGCTGCGGGGTGCATAGAGAGAAAATGTTGGAACGACATTAAAGTTTGTCTGGATGCCATTAAGTACAATTTGATGTAATGTGCAGTTTGGGACGTGACATTTTAAATGGAAACTGTGCTCTCCAGATGAGAGAGATTTGGGCCGTGTGGAGTTGGAGGGGGGTGTTGTACTTGAAGCCTTATTTAACAGCTTGGATAAACAGCCCTCTGTTTCGTTGCTGAGCAGGCGCCCATCCACTCCTTGTGCTTTCTTTCAATAATCATGCTGGCTTTCTGAGCCTGCTCCAGTGTACAGTATCATATACAGGAATAACAAACCCTGGGTCCACTGTGCGGGTCAGAGCACAGTGCACCATTATACTGCTGGGCATGCTCGCATGACTGAGGTGCCTGCAGTTTGGATATGTCAGTGAACACATGTCAAGCCCAATTGCATAAAGTCCCCTTTCAAAAGCTTTTCTGGTTCACCTTCTCATATTTTGAAATGCTCTCCAGATTTGAATCGCTACAGCCTCCATCCTCCCGGGCCTCTCGTATATCAAAAAAAAAGTATTTTTAAAACAGAAATCCATCGAGTCCAGCACTGGATTTTGGGAACTTTCCATACACACAGGCAAAAAATGTGAAAAGGAGACCTTGAGGAAGTTTATGATCCTCTGTATTTTTTGGACTGTGTGTGATTCTTTCAGGGGGAAAAAGTCATATTTTAGAAAATATTATTCTTTCAGCAAAAGATTTGAGTTATTGGAATATTCTTCTCTGGAAGTATCGACGTGCAGCAGATCTACATATATTACACCTTGACAAGAGAAACAGCACATGGTGTGCAAAGAACAAAACTCTCACTCTCAGTTTACTTTGAATTGAGCCACGGTGCGTGTTCAGGTTCAGCTTGTTAGAACTGCAAAATGTATCCAGAGGCAACTTAGAGGGAACTTTCACTGACCTCCAGCTGTGGCCATCATCACTGGGGGATGCAGGGGACACATCCCCCTCAATACTTAGAACTTGATAAAAACATAAGGGGGCTTGTATTTCGACATTTACAACATAAAACAATAGGAAACTCGGTGCATAGAAATTCACCAGAATGTAGGAATTTAACTGTTTAATGCTCTTTTTTTGGTTAAAAACCTGTCCTTGCACTCATGACGTCATAAAGTTACCTCCTACAACATGACAGCTCAGTCTCATTTTATTCTCAACATCAAACTTTCCTTTCTTTGTGCTGCTGTAAGTCTGTCTGCAGCAACAATATAGAAGTGTATCTTTAAAAGACTTCCCCTCCTCCCCGCTGATTGAATGAGAGGCCTTTTGATCTGCAGAAACAAACAATACACCAGAGACCCTCAGCATTCATTCATAACTTCAGTTTACTCTCCCGATGCAGGCGCACAGAAATGAAGACCTTCCTGTCTGCTGCAGCCTGGATGCAAACAGCACAACAAAAAGCAACAAAGCACCGGCAATATGGCATTGAAACAATAATATACACCCATAAACTCTTCCATTAATCAAAAATGCATCCATGCTCGTCTTCTTTATTCCATAATATTTTATCTTTGTGACATCATAGGGTTTGCGTGTTGTTTTTTATTGTGTAAGTGAGCAGTAAGGTCATGCCATCTGCAGAGTGACACATTTAATTTACTGTTATCAGCCTTTATCTTACAAAGCCATTAAGGATACATGATAATAAGGCAGTAAGTCTTTATTCATTTACAAAAGATGACGTAATGTATATATTTATATTTATAGGGACTGTAGCTGCAAAAGAGTCTGCAACAAACTGTATGCTTTGTTTTTGCGCAGTTTACCATATAATTTAGGCCACCTACAGTACATACAATAGCCTGCTGGGCTGTGTCTTGAAGTTTGAAGAAGGTGTGAAGTGACTTCAGGTGGGTTTCCCCCTGGTCACATGTGCACCCTCTTTCCTGGGCTGGGCTGGATGCGCTAGGACCGCGGGGACCAGAGCGCAGACGCAGACGGAATGGGCGCACTTGGGGTAGAAACTAAAGTGAGTTTGAGTGTGACAGAAGCAAGCAGGCAAAACCGCTAGATTTTGGGAATTACACAGGAGCCGATCACGACAAGCTCACTTCGTGTCCGAACTAACACTTTTTAAATTCATTTAAATTTGCGCATGAGAGAGAAGTCTTCACGGAGCGCTACGGGATCGGGAAACAGAGAGGAAAACTTTTAAAAGCAGCGAAACAACTGACAAAAGCTTGAGGATATACTTTTTTTCTTTACTTCTTCATATAGATGGTGTGGAAATGACTGCACAGTCGTGAAAACCATCAACTCCTGGATTAACTTTTAGACTGGGACATAACGGTAATCTGAGTATCCCGAGGTGATGTGA